CATTTATTAAATTGGCGAAGAACATACTTCTCAAAAGCAATATAAGCAGAAAAGAAATCAGACTTGTTCCGTAAAGGAATAAACCACATATATTTAGAATAGTCATCAACCAAACAAGCATAATAACGAAACTTTCCAAGAGACAAAAAAAGGGCTGGTCCCCATAAATCACAATGAACTTTATCAAAAACAGCAGACGATTTCCGACTAGAAAAGTTCAAAAGGAAATTTACTCATCTTTTCTAATTGACAACTATCACAAAAATGACCTAGACGACTAGAACCGGACACATTAATAAGGCCTTTATTCTGAAGACGCTGAACTGTAGAAATTTGGGGATGACCTAAACGTTGGTGCCAAAGATCAAGGCTACCAGACTTAAACCGAATCGAAAAATGAGCTTGTGGTTGACTGGAAATGGTGTAAAGATCGCCCTTCTTTTGACCCTTCATGAGCGAGCGACCTGTTTTCCAATCCTTAATAAAAAAATCAACATTAGAGAACTCACAATTCACCGAAGATTGAGATGTTAGTTGACTGATAGATAATAAATTTTTCTTTAATTTTGGAACAAAAAGAACTTGGGGCAAAGATAAAACATCATTATTTTGTTTGATAACAGATTCACTAATACCTGTAATAGGGATTGAAGACCGATCATCAATAATAACCGAATCCGAGCCAACATAATTATGAAAATTATGAAGCATACCTGAATTGCCAGTCATATGATGAGTGGCTGCAGAATCAGACGACCATTCATTATCAGTAACCAGTTATCCAGTGTAAGAGCCGCCAAAGCATGTGGAAAATGATTAGACGAAGCTGTCAGATTTGGCCCTTTAGGAAGCCACCAGCAAATCTTTGCGATGTGGCCTGGCCATCCATAGTACTGACACACCTCAGCACGATAAAGGTCACACTCTGTTGGAGTCATCCGGCGCTCACCAGGTAGGGCAGGTTTGCGAGACAGAGTTGGTTTCTGAGGATGGTCGCGGAGGTAGACTCGGAGCAGAAGAGTGAACCTGTTGTGCCTGAAAACCACAACCATGGGAATTAAATTAAACATTTTTTGAAGATGGAGAAGAAGTAGACGTCTGATGCTGGCCATAAAAAGCCAAATGCGAGACATTGGAAGACAAAGAGCCATCAGTTTGATGCGCAAACCAAGTCCGCCGCTGATCAAGGTTTTGCAACTGGGAAATCAACTCTTTGTAAGTCAGCCGAGGTGGCTTCAACATGGTGGTGGTGAAGGTCTCAAATTGGGTCCAAGGCTGTTGAGAAGACAGTAAACTTTTTCTGCCTCCGGAATAGGTTTGCCGATGGCTGTCAAACTGTCACACAAGCCTTTGAAGGTGCGAATATGATCAGCCACAGATTTGCCGTCATCTTTCCGGAGATAAGTCAATTGTTGACGAAGAGTGAACTCCCGTTCTTGAGAATCATGGGCATACTCATCTTTTAGGGCGTTCCAAACACCATAAGCGGTGTCAAGCCCGATGAAAAGTCCAAGAGAACCTTCAGACAGGGTACCAATAATCCAACCCCGAAGAAGACGATCGGACTTTTGCCATGCTTGGAATTTTTGATTTGATTCAGAGCTGGCTTTTTCAATACCAGAGTCTGAGTTTTGAGGGTCGATTAATGGTGATTGTGTGAGGTGATCAATAGCTTCTTAACTTTCGGCAAGAGCAAGAACTTGCTCCCTCCACAAAGGGTAGTTTGTCTGGGAAAGTTTAAGGGTAACGAAGTTACCGACATTGAGAGACATGGATGTTTGTGCGGAAGCCATAGGAGAGAAAGCAAGGGCAGACGCAGGAGATGAAACCTTAAAACTGATACCAAGCTAAAAACCAAGTTTCCCAGAACCCCTAATTAAAAAAGAAGAAAAACACATGAATGATTTTTAATAAAAAAACTGAATTATACTTTGTGCTATATTCATCTCTATTGACAGTAGTACATCAAGGACTCTATTTATAAACTATTACAGCTTCTTTGTCAATAACTAACTCGTTTGATAAGGATAGAAAAATACATAATGAAAATCACTAATGAAGATGATCTTTTGATGATAACAACGGCGGTTGTAGAAGCGTAGCCTTGATGTTTTCTTGACGTGATTAATCCAAGGCTGAGTGAATAATACTTTTACAAGACTAAGTCAATCTTTAACAGACTTGTTACCAAACATGGTAATTATCGATTTACTGAGTAAGACATCCTTATCACTCCAGCTACCCTTATTACTCCTCTTACTCAGAGAGGTCTTCTGTTGATTCAAACTGTAAATTTATATTTTTAACATGGGACACCCATGGATGGTAGGTGGCGGTTACAATGTAATCTGAAATCTAGATGAGTATGAAGGAAACTCGATGCCGGATCAGGGAGCTATAGATTATTTTAATATGTGGATGAAAGTTGCGGACTTATGGAGCTGAATCTGTTGGGTAATTTGTGCACCTGGCCAGGAAATCGTCAACACGGGCGAGTTTTGAAGCGGCTGGATAGAGTGTTGTTCAACCAGGAATGGAATGATCTTTTTGCAATCTCTTCAGTTCATCATCTTAGCAGGACGACATTAGACCATTCCTCTTTGCTTCATCAATTTAAAGCTGACATTGAAACCTGGCCAAGTCTTTTCCGTTTTTAGAAAATGTGGACGTGAATGGGAAATTTTCTGAACATTGTAAAAGCCAGCTGGGACGGACCGATTGAGGAAACTGGAATGTTAGGATTTTCTTTGAAGCTTCGGCGATTGAAAGCATGTCTAAAATGGAACAAGGCGGGATTCAACGATGTTTTTCAGAATCTAAAAAATGTTGAAGAAGTTGTTCGACTCAAAGAAATAGAGTATGATCAAACCGGCTCTAATGTGGCAAGAATAGAGCTGAATCGGGCTCAAGCTTTCTATTTACTCTAGCTACGCGAACAAGAGGATTTCATCCAGCAGAAAGCAAAGCTAAAATGGCTAAGGGAGGGAGATGCAAATACAAAACATTTTCATGCCTCACTATCGGAAAAGAAAGCGCGTCTTGGAATTCATAAAATTAGAGGGCACGATGGTTCTTGTCTATCAAATAGAAATGACATTGAGCAGGAAGTAGTATTTTTCTTTCAAAGTTTGCTAAGAGAGGAAGTAGCTAAATCGCATGGGGAAGCAACCAGTAAGCTATTGTTCAATATTCTTTCACTCTTGAATGTGGGTGATAATGAGGTTTTAATGCAGAAATTAACCGTTGAAGAGGTTAAAGACGCGGTTTATAGTTTTGATCCTGCAAGTGACAGCTCAAAACTGACAACAAAAGTGTTGAGTCAATGCTACAGAAGGGCAAAGATTTTCCATGGAAGCAGTGTATGTACTTGAAAAGTATACAACAAGGGATGTTCAACATGAATTCCAAAATTGTTCGTATCTTCAGAGAGGTTAAAATAGCGTGCAAATGAGCTTGCTAGAACAAAGCAATATAACTCATAGGATTCCCTTCCTGCACCATTGAGAGGTAAGATCTATTGAGGTAGGAACTGCTTCCCTTGCGTGTAAAATAGTGTTTTATAATTTGTAGTATAAAATAAATAGAGAAGTCATGGGATCTTTGTTTTAAGATCTTTATAAGACTTTCTCTTAGATTACAATCTCATTGAAATATTTTTGAAGTGTCAGGGGATAATAGTACATCTTTGTAAAACAGTTCATAGTTTTAGTCTTGTTAGAGAACTGTCATGGAGTTTTTAGAAAACCTTTCTATATGAGGGTCTCTTTTAAATTGGGTAAGTCCTAAGCACTACCTTTTGTAACTCTATTTTTTAATTAATAAAATCGGGGTATGCCTACCAGGTACCGTCCTGGTTCTCTTAAAAAAAAAAAAGAAATCTTAAAAATAGTTTATAATAATTACAAGAACATAATAAATGTGGAAATGTATTTTTTAGAGTTTTATTTTCAATTGAAAGAACACAATAAATAAAATTTTAGACAAATTAAAATGACTTATGAGAACGACTGTATGGAGTAATTAATTAGAAATGAGATTGTAATTCTAAATTCTTTCTTTGGATGTTTAAAAAGATGCAATTTAATATTATTATGTAACTTTATAACTATTAACACAAATTTTACCTATTTAAAAAAAATAGGTAAAGTTATTTTTTTAAAATAGGTAAAATTTGTGTTAATAGTTACCTATTTAAAAGAGAAAGTACTTCTCTCTCAAAAACCTCGCCTCTCACTTCTCTCTAAAAATCTTGTCTGAAAACCCTAATTTTCATGGCGGCCACAAAGTCGCCGGATGACACCCAAACCAAGAATTTGACGTTTGTGCAAATTCTAAATGGTTGAAAACCAAATCCAAAAAAGTTGTTTCAAGGAGTTGGAAAACCGGTTAATGAGGGTCCTTTTATACACTCCAGCCTTTCAATTTACAAAAGGGAGCCTGCATTCCTGTTGACAAAAGAAGAAGATGCAAAACGTGCGGAGCCTTTTAAACTAGCGCTCATCGGCAAATTCTCAAAAGGTAGGCCAGCGATGGAGTATTTGTGGACTCAATTTCAGAAGATTGGATTAAAGGGAGATTTCTCTTTGGGAATGATTGACCACCAGCACATTTTGATTTTTTTTGACCTTGAGTAAGACTTCCAAAGATGTCAGATCAAGAGTTTATGGTCTTTTGATCATCATGTTATGAGGGTATTAAAGTGGACTCCGGAATTCAACCCGGAGCATGAATCATCGATCGCTCCTTTATGGATAGGCTTTGAGGGTTTGCCAATTCATCGTTTTAATGAGGAATATTTGAGAAATTTGGTAGGTATCATAGGCAAGCCGTTAAAGATTGATGTCCCGACTTTAAACATGTCACGTCCTTCTGTAGCATGGGTGTGTGTCGAAGTTGATTTATTGCATGAACTCCCGCAACAGATCAGGCTTGGAACTGGAGAGCACTCCTATTTTCAGCCGATCACTTATAAAAATCTACCGGATTACTGTTTAGAATGTATGAAGATTGGCCACTCGGCAGCGGATTGTCGTCATGTCAAAGGAAGGAAGGTTGTCGGAAATCAGAATAAGGTTGAGACAGCTGCGGATTATGTTAAAACTAGGGCTCCGGTCATGAAGAATTACTGGAAGCAAAAAGAAAACCCTTCTTCGAATCCTGCTATGAAGGAAAAAGAAAACTCCGTTATGATGGAAAAGAACAAGGGAGCTTCAACGTCAGGTTTGACAAACAAAGAGAAAGAATTGATTCTGATCGATATTGAACCTTCAAGCCCTCAATCAAGACAAACTTCTTCCACAAAGAGACGCTTTTCGAAGGATCAACTTCAGTCTGTAATACAGAATAACCGTCAGCAGGAGATATCTTTGGACCCTATAGTTGATGATGATCAAGACAGAACTCAGAGTCAAGACATGGAAGATATGCAATTGGTCATCTATCAAGAATCAACAAAGTCACCGGCTGATTTCTCTTCACCTTCACGATTTCAAATTTCGTCAGAAGCTCAAGACGATGATGGTGAGGAGATAGATAAAAAAATCAGAACATAAATCAAGTGAATCAATTCTGGAGAAGGAAGACGATTCCGCCTCTGAAGCTGAAAATGTTTTTTCAGAAAATCATGATGAATTTAATACAAAGATGGTTCTCAATTCTTCTCAATGGAAGTCCCATTGGTTATTTTCAAGCTTCTCATGGTATTAAACAAGGTGATCATCTTTCGCCTTACCTTTTTCTTTTGTTATCGGAACCACTCACTCGCAACTTGAATAAGCTCGTGGAAGTTGGTCTTATAGCATCATATGGAGTGCCAGCTAGGGCAATTGTGCCATCTCATTTGTGTTTTGCAGATGACCTCGTCATTTTCACGAAAGGGATACCAAATTCTATGCAGCAGTTGATGAGTTTTTTTTTTCAGGATTACGAAGATGCTTCAGGGCAGAAAATCAATAAGCAAAAGAGTACATTCTACGTATTTGATAAATGCTCCATGGAACGGATTTCTTTAATCCAGAATTCACTCCAAATGGAAAGAGGTACATTCCCATACATGTATTTGGGATGCAAGTTGTTCAAAGGAAGGAAGAAAGTGGAATATTTTCAACACTTGTTGGATGCCTTTGATGCTAAATTGCTGAATTGGAAGAATCACTTTTTGTCGCAAGGAGGATGTTTGTTGCTGATAAAACACGATCTACCGGCAATTCCTCTTCTTGAACGGAAGTGTCAGAATTTTCTTTGGGGGGAATCGAATCAAGGACACAAACGCCATTGGCGAGCTTGGCGCCAGCTGACTTATCCGCTACAAGAGAACAGTTTAGGGCTTCGGAATTTAGAATACAGGATCCAAGCTTTTTCTATGAAGCTCTGGTGGAAACTTAAGTCAAACAAAGGAATCTAGCCCAGGTTTGTTAATTCATTGTCTGCTACATCCAAAGAGAAAACAAGTTGGTCGTGTGTAGCTAAGGTTGATCAGTTGGCAGATTCGTGAAGTAAAATTTCTATCCGAGATGGTTCATCTGCTTTATGGAACGATCCATGGCTGGACTCAGGGGTAATTTGGAACCATTCAGGCGATCCACCTGCTGTAGACTTAACAGTGAAGGACTTTTACATGTCCAATGACTTTTTCTTGCATGTTTTTTCAGGTTTGATCGATCAGAGTCAATTTGATCAGCTGCGGAAATTGGAGCTGTGTTTCAAAAACAAGAAGGATTCTCTGGTGTGGAAGCCAACGCCGACGGGAAGCTTTTCAATTTCTTCTGCTATGAGGCTGCTCGACAAAGCATAGAAGAATTTCTTCCTTTAAAAAGTTTTTCGCATAAGTTAATTCCCATTAAAGTTTCTTTTTTTTTTATATGGAAAATATTTAATAACTTATTGCCTTTTCCTGAAATCTTACAGAAATTTGGAATGGCCATGAGCCCTTCAAGATGTCCGTTTTGTCAAGTTGAGGAAGATTGCATCGAGCACTTATTCTATGCTTGTCAAGAAATAATTCCGGTTTGGAACTATTTTGCTACTCTTTTTGGAATTATGATCCCTAATAATGCAGGATGGTGGATAAGCTTGCAAACTTGGCAATCAATTGGAAGTTTTACTTCAGAAAAAAATCAATAATGATAGTCTTACCAATCTTCATCTTGTGGGAAATATGGAATTTGAGGAACAAAGTTGTTTATGATGGTATGCATTTCTCTTTGAATTTTTTCATTAAACAAATCATGACTAATATCTCGAATATGTTGAGTGTTCATGATTTAAAGGTCAAGTCATCAGAGGAACAAAAAGAAATAGAAGATCTTTTTAAAGTGAGGGTTCTTCGGTCCCAAAATAAAAAGTTCACGGTATTGAGATGGAAGCCTTCCGATCCCAGTGAAGTAGTATTAAACATGGACGGGTCGGCCTTAGGACAACCAGGTGAGGCAGGATTGGGATTAGTCATCCGAGGCGAAACTGGCTCATTTCAATTTGGAGAGTGTGGATACATGGGAAGAAATACAAGTATTGAAGCCAAAATAGTAGCCATCTATCATGGATTAAAAGCTTGTGAAGAGTGGGGGCTAAATCGAGTGACAGTTCAAACTGACAACAAAAGTGTTGTGTCAATGCTACAGAAGGGCAAAGATTTTCCATGGAAGCAGTGTATGTACTTGAAAAGTATACAACAAAAGATGCTCAATATGAATTCCAAAATTGTTCATATCTTCAGAGAGGTTAACATCGTGGCAGATGAGCTTGCTAGAACAGCATCATCAGGGATTACAAAGCATTACCACTCATAGGATTCCCTTCTTTCGTCATTGAGAGGTAAGATCGATTTAGATAGGAACTGTTTCCCTTACTTGCATGTAAAATAGTGTTTTAAAATTTGCAGCATAAGATGAATAGAGAAGTCATGGGATCTTTGTTTTAAGATCATTGTAAGACTTTCTCTTGGATTACAATCTCATTGAAATTTTTTTGAAGAACTGTCAGGGGATAATAGTATATCTTTGTAAGACAGTTCATAGCGATAGTCTTGTTAGAGAACCGTCATGGAGTTTTTAGAAAAACTTTTTGTAAGAGGGTCTCTTTTGAATCGGGTAAGTTTTAAGCACTACCTTTTGTAACTCTATTTTTCAATTAATAAAATCGGGGGGAATGCCTACCAGGTACCATCCTGGTTCTCTTAATAAAAAGAAAAGAAATCTTAAAAATAATTTATAATAATTAGAAGAACAGACTCGGATGGTAAAACGCCTGTTGGGTCGGCGAAGAATGATGTGGAGACTGATGGGATGAATGATGTGGAGACTGATGGGCTGAATGTTGTCGAGAATGGAGTGGAGACTGATGTGGAGACTGATGGGATAACCGCCAGTGAAGGGAATATGAGACTGCTGATGCTGGGAGGACTGATGTGGCTGAGTGGATGTGATTGTCTCTTGCCCCCCACGCCCACACTGAGACCTGCGCTAACGCCTCGGAGGTCTGGGTGGTGGATATTGCTGGGTCGGGTCTACAGGTGCAAGTTCTTGACTCAAAATGTCATTAACCTCAACATGCCTATCGAGATCGTGACGTACAACATTCGTTGCATTGACGGACAATGCTCGCTCAGCAACCTGGGCAATCTCGCCTAAGCGATCATAACCAAAGGAGTCCGCGTCGAAAGTACGCTGGCCTATAATACTCAGACTACGAACGTCCTCCATCAATGTGGCCTGAAATTTTTATTAGAAAGAATCATAAATCAACAACAGTGTTAATAAAAAGAACCAAATGGACTGTAGGCGAAATACTCACCATGAGGCGCAAGGTCTCTGCAGAGCCGTGAAAACCCCTCGCATTTTCAGAGTCTGTCGGATCCGTAACATACTTCACAGTAACCTGATGGTACCACAAGAGATACTCCGAATCTGCGGAAGGGTCGCCAACATAATCATCATCAGTCCCCACAAGTCGGCCATGGCGATCATTCCAAACCTGGAGATATATCCCTAGTTGTTGTATCCATCTCCTATCGGATCCTCCAAACGGCTTCCTCTTGAGCAGGCTAGTAATTTCCGCCGCAGTGAGAAGTAATGCGTCGCCGGGTATCCGCTGGTGATAACCAAATTGACGAAATACCCTACTGGGGTTGTGTGGCGCAACGACATCACCGCAGATGAGCCATGTCTGAGATCGCCATATGCCCTGTCCCACAAGACAAACCCTGGCAATACGACCCAGAAGAGTCGTGTACGGCATCCATACAAACTGCAATGGTAATTAAGTAAGAGACGTGTAATTAAAAGTCCGGCACCGTTAAAAAAAACGAATAAAACATAAGTTATATTAATTGAATAGAATACTAACATCAGACTCTGCGAGAACTGCAAGCTGATCCCGGTACGCGGCCAAATTGAACCGCGTGATACCTTGAACTTTTTTCTCACGGGACCACCTGCACGGAGAAAGTAACATTAAATTGAGACATGACAGTACAAATCATAATGTCAAAATTTACGAAGGTTTGATGTATAGGATTACCTCGTGCCCAATGGACAATGAGATAGATCGAGCTCCCCACCCAGTATCTTGGGCTGAACCGTCAAAATCCGCTCCCAGGCCCAGAGCTAATTCAGAATGAAGAAATCATTAGCTAAAATCACCAATAATTATAGGAGAATATAAAATGAAACTAGAGAGAAATGAAAAGATAAAATACCTGAAAAAGAATCACACAGCCGGTAATAGCCTTGGCAGAAGCGGCCAAAGATGACTTGGACATGCTGCGGTACAAGTAACATAGTGCCGCACTACCCCAACTGTACTCCGAGCAAATCCCGGAGCAAATCTCAGGAGTATGAAGAAAATGCACAAGATCGAGAGGAAAACTGTTTCTCGTAGTGTTTGAGAACAGTAATCCGCCAACGAGCCATCCAACAAAACAACGGGCTCGCTGTAGGTGTGCATCGTCAGGGGACAGGTCCGTCAAAGGATTATTCTCTATGTGAGTCTTTATTTCAGTGATGGAAACGCTCGTCAATCTAGACTCCTCTGTCTGGAACCTAAATCCAAACATCCTTTCCAAATAGGCTGCCCAACCACCATCAGGCATGGTGTGATGTCCTGTAATTGGACGTCCATCTTCCCGAAGACCCAAAAGAACCTCGACGTCCTGGAGTGTGATGGTAGCCTCCCCAAAAGGTAAATGAAATGTATCGTTCTCTGGGCACCATCGCTCCACAAGAGCTGTAAGCAGGGCATTTGGGTCCACAGACAATCATAGCCGTGAAGACGCTCTTTCGGATATTTGGGTCCACAGGTCTCGCATTCGACATACCATGTTCGTTTAGAGCTCGTTTTCACCCGGAAAATCCGACCATGTACCAAGTTCCATTCTCCCACTGCCGCTTGTGCCTCAGGCTTGTTAGCGAAATGTATATCAAGGCCTAGCGTCAACAGATTGCCATCCCACATTTTAATCCCATCACAATCTACTTCCTCTAAAGTTTTGTCCCATCCACTTATGTCGTCGAAAACATATGGGACTGAAGAAGATGACTCAAAATCAGTGTCGTCATCTGAGTCCTCATCCGATGGGATGTACTCATCATCACTGCTTTCGACACCCCCGCCATCTTCGTCTTCATCTGCATCTTCATCTTTATCTTCATCTTCATCTCCATCTTCATTGTCTTCAACTGTTCTACCACCACTAGTGCTGGCACCAATATCCTGGCCAGATATACTTGCAAAAACATGGCCTGTTCTCTCAACATTTTTAGGGTACAATTCTGGCCATTTATCAGCACAAAGATAAATGAACCGAACAGTATTATCATCATTAATGTGCACACGAGACCTTTTTCCTGACCTCTCCGTCCATACCAAAGAAAAATCAATATACAGCCTTCTCTATCAACTTCCATCACACCACATACCTTATCAACAAGTTCCGAGAAATCTAACATACGATCAATGATAAGATAACCGTCCGGCGCATCCCGCTGTACCGTGATAGTCCCATCAGGTTCAGTTGTATAAGTAGTATTCCAGTATACTTTCAGACGAACTGTCTCCGTGAAAGACATTTGCGGCCTGCAAATCAATTCCTACGAAATCAGAACACTAGCATACATTTTGAATTTTAGTTTTGCGGAAACAGTATTTACCCCGTTTACAGATTTAATAATTTCAAAAGAACAACTATACGCCTGAATTTACAAATTCATTTCTATGCTAAAAATTAATATTAAATCTAAACCTTATGCCCGAATTACATAATTTATTCTTATGCTAAAAATATTCAAAAATTCAATATCATTAATATAATTTTATTTTATTTAACAGAAATCGATATACAATAATTTACAACGCTCATCTAATTTAACATTCTATTAACTAATATTTCTTTCAATTCACTTTATCAGCCTAATTAAAAAATCACCATTAATTGACTAAATCACAATTATTTATTAATTAATAATAATGCGTAAATCATCCTATGCTCACAATAAGGCATAAAAAAGTACATATTTTCTATAACGAAATAAACTTCGTTGAATGATGAAGGAAATGAGAGCTTTCACGGATTCAGTCAAGTCCTCCGAAGTGAAACTTAAAATCGGAGCTCAACAGAATGAAATAAGTTTAGGAAGAAAAATCGGAGCTCAACAGAATGGAAAAAGTTTGCGAAAAAATGCTGTTATTTTGCTTGGTTTGGTATATAAATCTTAAATTTCGCATTTACAAAATGCGAATACACTCAAAGACTTATCATCAAAATACACGTGGAGCCAAATGAGTGGATGAGGAGATTTTTTGGATATTTTCGCGTTTTTAAAACGTTAAAATTATTTTTCGCGCTTTCAAAACGCTAGAAAACTTATTTCACGTTTTCAAAACGCTAAGTTGTTATTCTGAAACCGCAATTTATTTAAAATTTAAAATTTATAGCTTTTCGCCTTCTTAAAACGCGAAAATAATTTCTCGCGTTTCTGAAACGCTATTTCCGTTTTTCGCGTTTGCAAAACGCGAAAAATGGTTCTCCTTTTTTAATTCAATTTTTTTTCTCCCGGTTGAATTTGGAAAACATGATTAAAATGATTCGCGTTTCACAAACGTGAATTGTTAATCTAATTTTCTTGTTTCGCATTTTGAAAGCGCGAGAACATTATATTTGTCCACAAAATAAACCCTACACATTTTTTATTCCACAATTTTGGGTTTGACTCACCCAAAAGTCAAGCACCCCAGAAAATCTGTCAGGGTCTCAACTTCGCCCTCTGTATTAATGATTTATCCTTCCTCTCATCCGTCCAAAGTTGTTTTTATCTACTCTTATTTGACAGTGAATATTATGATATATACATGTATGCAAAAAAAAATCAAATATGATAATTATAAATTTGAGAAATAAATCGAGAATCACATTGTAGATTCTGTCTTCCTATAGTGGTTTTGGCAATGTAGGCATATCCTTCATTTTATCAGTGATAGGCACATGATTTAAAGGCTAAACATGATCAGTTTTGCAAAGTTGTGTTGTGTTTGGTATTATCCCTATAAACAATGAATCTATCACCAATGCATAGTAGCAAGATGGAAAGTGGTTTTCTTTCATTTTGGTTTGCTAAACGATTGTGCGGTTTGCTAAACGATTTTACAGATCTTCCACAATTCTGATTGAAAGCAAGATGTGTTCACTGACTACTTGCTCAAAATGCAGAAGAATAAGATTGGAGCTCTTGTGTTAAAGGGTCTGTTTCTTCTAGCTCTTAAACTTTTCTCCAGAATCTCTTTTTATGAAATCCTTCCTTGTCTAGTCTTCTTTATGTCAGTTTTTACCTGTCTTCAAACGGATTCTTAGCTGGGTCAGAAAATGGATTTGAAAATGGCTCATCAGTCTTGATTTCATAAATTTCAGAATTTGAGATTTGAGTTGTTGTACTTAAGTTGCTCATTTATCGTCAATTTAGAATCTTTTTGGTTGATTTTCTGTTTTTAAGCCTTCTCTTCGTTTTGTAAGTTGTACATGGAACTCTAAGGATGTTGAAACAACTTAGATTGATTATATGAACATACATAATAGAAAGCAATACATTCCTAAGCCATGTAGTAATTGCATAGATATTACATCAGTTAGCTTTATGATACGAGTAAGCAATGACAAGTGTAAATGAGACTGATATGACATTAGGCTCATATTTGGGTTTTGAAAATTTGAGTTAAATCACATTATCTCATATTTGAGAGTTAATTCATGCTTTCTATATATGAGACTGATTGATAATACCAATTTATAATCTATTTTGCTATAATGAAGCCAGAGATGGTCATTGATTAGATAGGTAGCTATCCGGCTTGAGCAATTGGTTCTTGGATGCTGTTTATTCTGATTTATATATGGTGTGAACAAAGTGCTATATTTCTTGTTCCCTAGGTCTTCTTCTATCCTTAAAAACTAATGACAGTGAATACTCATTTTAAAAATGATTTGTGCAGAGTTGGCATGGACTTGATTCACAATCTCCAGCTTCTGCTGCTGCAATAGCATCCAAGGATAAATGATTGGCTATGTCTTGGCATTGGAGGCTGCTCTGCTTCAATGTTTTCCTATCCGGGAACTCCAAGCCAACGACCGTTCTCCTCATCCTTCTCGTCAGAGTAAGTGCCATTGATTCGTCTGAAACATGAATCTACTTTACCATGGTGTTTCTTTTAAGCAATTTCATATTTGATCTACAGAAAATGACATATATAGTGAATAAAAATAGTGACAAAATATAGGGACTGATGTGGATTACTCATGGCTCCTAGTTTTTTGCTACGTTGAAGTTTTATTTTTTTTCCCTGAAATTACATATTTACCCTTAATTAATAAAAGATATGTTTAGTAAATAGACGGTGTATTTGTCTTTTCATTTGTCACAATATATTTTTACTGTACTTAGTCAATGAATGTATCATTGCTGTATGATCTACATCTGAGATGCAATAAAATTTTGAGTACTGATATTTACATTATATATCTCTTGAAATTTCTTTCTGTTGCGTGGCAGCTAAACCTAATTAGATCATCAGACATTTGAACCCACCGTTGTTCTGTCTTGTACCATGAACTGCGGTAGTTACTTGACGCATTTATTTGCACACAGTTTTATATGCAGCTCTAATTTTATGCTGCGCTTTTATATAGTTTTCCCATCTGGACATGAAACTTACTATTGTAAATTTCTCAATTTCAGTTATTGTAGTTCTTTTATAAGGGACCAATTCTTTCATTTCTAATTTATCTGTTTTTTTATCTCTTGGAAGAGAAGGTTTGCAAGAAATGGCAGGCATATAGACATAAGTTTATTTGATGTAAAGTTTATGTTTTGGATTTTACAATTTCGATTCTGTCTCCGGGATGACATTTCTTGGTTTTGCTAAATGAGGTGATAACTTTGACTTCTGCAGTTGATGTGGAGCGCCGTGCTGGAGATTTTATGGAGGCTGTCAAGAACCTTCAACTCTATTTTGTTAGTTTGCAGCGGGAGGATCAGCCTACCCAAGCAGAAATCCTTCGGAGGGTAACAAACTTTTAAAATGCACATTGCAGCTCAAGATAGTGTTATTCAGCTCAAGATAATGTTATTTAACGCCTCAAAAATTTGCCAATCTAACAGGAGATTACCAGAATGGAAGGAGAATTAAATTTTAAGGATGACCTTATCCGTCAGCAAGAGAGAATTATTCAAGGATGGAGGTTAAAGGGTGTAACAGTAATGTTCAGTAGTTCTAGTTGCTCTTTCAAAAAAAAAAAAAAAGGTAGCTCTAGTAGATTATACTTCATACCCTGGTCCCTTTTGGATTTGGTATTTCTCCCTAGAATTGAACCCAAGCCCCTCTTTTTCCATAGCTATCAGAACTAAACTAAGAATCGTTGTGACTTTTGACAATATCTATTCTTAACCGGTGCACAATATCATTCAGCTTAGTGAAAATGGAGGATTCTGTTTGTATCTGATCTTGTGATCATATGAAGCAACTTCTATATCATTTTACTGCAAGAAATATCTGAGATGAAATATATACTCAACCTCAATGCTAAAGCCAAACAAAAAGAAAAATAGATACAAATGAATTCAGATTTGCCATGCCAGTTTTTTTTAAGGAAAGACAATTGTGAATAATAAAAAAGTAATTTAAAAAGAAAAAATTCAAAAAAAAAGTACTTTTGTGATTTTCTTGTATAATGCCTTCTTTAAATTTTTTACTAGTAAAATATTTTTGTCCAAATGTATTTTTTCTACAAAAATACTTTCTAAATTTTTTCTCCAAAAAGAGTATTATAAAAGTGTTTTACAGAAACTTGTCCAAATGGAGCCTAAATGTCATCTAACTCAAAACTGTAAGTCTGTAAACAAAATATTTTAATCTATTTAACCCAAAATTAGGCACAAAAATATTAAGAAACCAAACTTATCAATGATATAATGGTGACGAATTTATCTAACAACTATGAAGGACGCACCATTTCAAAAAAAAAAAAAAGAAAACAGAAAAAAAAAAAACACTATGAAGGACGCAGTCATGCTTCTCTCAACCCATTTACTGTGTTTCTAGGCCTGATACTGGGCCTTTGATACAAGTAGTAGCCTCCTCTTACAGAAAAACATATTATGTACTCCGTTCGTCCCATAATTATTGTCCACTTTGCCCAAAAAATTTTATCCCAAAATTATTGTCCAATTTGACTTTTTATGGATCAAGTTACACATTTGTCCTTAGTAAAAAATATTATCCATAAAATCTTTGTGGTTAAACAATTACTTATGTAGGGGTATATCCGGTTGTTCAAGGTAAAATATTGTTAAGTTTGACTAAAAATTAAATCATTCATTTTAGTAAAACTAGACAATAATTATGGGACGGAGGGAGTATTTCTTAAAATTATTGTTCAATTTGTATTTTCAGTTTTTGTATAATTTAAATTACAAATAGAATTTTAAAATTAGATAATTATTTCGGAATAAAGGGGGTAAATTATTTCTTTTCCAGATTAGCAATGTTCACCCTTTCTAGTTTCCAGAACTACGGTTATAAATTTTAAATTGTTTATATTTTTTCATATTGCAATAAAAATGATGATAGGACCTCATTTTTATTTTTATTTTTTCATGATAGGATAATACTTAAGTTCGAAAACTTTTACAGAAGAAACTTCTAATATCTTTTGTGACTGGCGCTAAAGGAAACTGGAAAGGGTATTTACACATCCAATTTCGTAAATGCTGTGGAAACTACCAATTGGTTATAATTAAGGTTCATAAACAACAAACACTTTCCCTTACCTTTAAAATCTTTAATATCAATAATTAATATTTTGTGGTTGACTCTTGAGTCATCAGATTGCTTTGTGTGTTCCATCATCAAATATTGTGTTCTATACATTCATCCATTTTTATGATCCTCTTAATTTCAATATATTTTTTCCATCTCTATATCTTTTCTCTAAATTTCATTTTCTTTTTTCTTTTCCATCTCTACCTCTCTTTTCAAGTTTTTATCTTTTTATCTGTATAGTTCTCTCCTTTTTTTTTATGGTATAATATACGATGCAAACAAATTACATGTTGGTATGAAATACAAAGATATATATTTTAACAACGATCTTATATAGCTGCTGCCTCATTCAACCAAAGCAAGCCTCCAGGACTAGCAGCCGCAAAATTATCAGGTTACCGCAAAATTCATCCCTCAGTACATGTGTTTGAATTTTACTTTTACAGGCCACTCCCCCCTTCAGAAGGGCACGAATTGCTGCAACTAAACTACCATGGATACCAAGTACATCATCATCTTCCCCCAAAGCCATTTGAATGACACTAAGATTATCAACCTCAATAATAATTTTATATATCCCCAACTCTCATGCTCGATACAAGCCTTAAAATAATCCTCGCAACTCAACTACTGTGATTGAACAAAATCAATTATTCATAATAAATTCTCCTCACCAACGACCATAATGGTCCCTCACAAGACCTCTAGCACTAGCCACATTGAAAGCTCCATCAGTATTAATCTTCAGCCATCTTTCTGAAGGTGTTAAACTTAGCCATCTAACCTCCCACAACCTGCCAGGGACCAATCACAAGCAACGGCAGACTTACCTTTTTAAACTTTCAATCGACATCTCACCAATCTGTTTTGGTGATTAACGTCGCGGTGTTAAGGGTTTCTTTTATTTTTATTTTTTAATTATTTAGTTTCACTATGAATCTTTCTAATGGATTTTTGAAGCGGGGAGTCTTTCGACACAAAAAATTTAACCTTATTATGAAACCTCATTTCATTGTATTCTTTTAAAAATTCTCTATGTAGCTCTCTTAATTCCACTTTCTCTTTAAATCTTTTCCCTTACTCTCAATCCCTCCCATCTTTCACTTGTTTGTCCTTCTCTACCTCTCTTCTTCACAGCTGTCTATTTATTCCTCTTATTTTATTTTATTTTTTAACTTTCTTATTCTATGTACCTCTCTAGTGTTCCATTTCTTGTGGCATGTTGTAACATTGAAACAATGTTTGAATATTTGAAGTACTAGACGTCATTTCTGTAGTAACAATAAGATAATATTAAAATTCTAATTAGAATTAAACCAATTTATTTTATCGAAACTGACAGTGAACACCATGCAATATACTTAAAAAGGTAACAAATCTCTATCGTTCACATGAAAACTTTCAACAGATAATGTCCACCATCCACATGTTGAATTTAATCTAGTCGCAAGTTGCAATTAAGCATGAATCATGGCAACAAAAAAACAGTAAGTACATAATTCAGTTTTGCCGTTATAATTTAAAGACATGATCGATGAACAGATTGAAGCGACACACATCAACTTAGTACTCCCCACAAATTCCGAAATAATAAAATAAAAAACAAACAAAAAGATATACAGATTATTTTGCTTTCCCCACGTTCCAATTTCCACTTACCTACTCTGATATCTATCACGCCTACAATTCTTTATTAAGCTTAATTTAAGAGCCACTCAACAAAGCACAGCTTTAACAGGCGTACGTTCCCAGTTTTGTGCAAGTGGGGATCGAACCTTACATTACTAGATTTAGGTGGAAACCTATCCATTCATTTATCGGGTCCTATGTAACAGCCACACTTTAATGTGTAAACAGGACTTTGATGATATGTGAGCAATAATTGAGACAACAATTTTAAAATGAAAAGCCTCACACAATATCTGCCATATTATTTCTGCTAAGTATATCGTGTCAAATGTATTAATAGACTAGTCAGAAACTGCTAAGTCGTTACCGGGACGGAACCAGGGGTGTTAGGGGTCGGCACGGTCGGCGAATTTTTTCAATAAATAAAAAAAAAAACTTTAAATTTCTTTATCCTGTCAAAATTCGGAACTAGTTTTGTCACTTGACGTTAATATTAGATGTTTATAATTCACGACAATTTTCAAGTTTTACCCAGTTACAAGTTTTACTAACACTAGAGTTGAATCCGCTGATTTGATCAGGCGAGTCGTGGAATCAATCTGGATCATGCATGATGATTACGATTTACCAGCTAAGAATTGTTAGGTTAATTATAGTTTTTTTTTCTTTGGTATAAGCAATAAAGCTAAAGTAAATTATACACTTAAGACTAAATTAAATAAAAGCAATTTGCAAGCCCGTTCGATTCTGAAGCATTTTCTTATTTTCACTTTTTCTCCCAACTTTTTCTTCCAGTTTCAATATAAAAACTTCCTACAAGGGAATAACAGGCTCTACACCCTTTCCCCCCACCACGTTGACTGCCCACAAAACCCTACTGAAACTCTGGAACAACCAGCTCCATATCTGCTGTTTCTATGGGCGGATTTGATGTAGACAACCTTAGAGCACGTGTATCCGCCCCACCATCATTCATTCATTCTCATGCACGAGCCTTCCTCGCGGTCCACCATAATTCTCATGCATTCATGTATTATTACCCATTTTCATATGTACAATGAAAAAGACAGTGCCGATAAATACTCTCTTTATTCAAACAAAATAGTTTACATTCATTTTGAAATTTGTAAAAAAATATAAATAAAAATTCAATGTAAATTACATTTGTGGAACAGAAAGAGTACACGGTTATTAAATCATAAAATAGGCGACCACAATCATATTATTACATCCAAGGTCGGACTAGTTTTCTCTTGCATGCGCTCCCTTTGATCGGTATAAATCATTAGTTTCTTAAACTGTCAAAGCTGCTAATAATGGGTTACAAATTGTGATTGGAGTTTATCATAATGTTTTATCAAATTGAATATGTAAAATTCAATTCGTACTAATGATGCCAAACCAATGCACGAAACAGCCTATCAAGTAACATTAACAGATTTTAATCTAGCACAAATTTTCTTTATTACAAGGAAATACCCAGTAATATCGCTTTCCTTTTCACCATTAAAACAAGGACTTGGTATAGATTTGCAGACCATTGATGAAGGGAAAAAAAATGATAAAGTTCAACAAGTAGAATTTTTAAAACGTGAGAATTATTCATTTATTATTACAAAGGAATTAGATGGAAATTCTTTCATATCAATTAATGCAGGCTTATGCGTCACATTGTGCTTGGGGACTGGCGTGATTACATTTCGTCCCAACTAATCCGGCCAGCATTGCTTTTACTACAGTGCTGTACATTTTACAACTGTATTAATTATTTCGTTTTAAACTGATGTGAAATCATTTCAAAGCGGCCAAGGAGAAGCACTACCCACGAATTCTTTTAGTAAGAGAAGACTTACAAATTTTATTATACTCCCTCCATTCCCAAATTAATATTCAGTTTTGATTTTCTTTTGAAGTAGAATTTGTATTAAAAATGAAAATTAAAACTGAAATAATAATTTCAGGACGGAAGAAGTAATACTTTCCTATATTTGTCCCTATAAAATAAATATTCTTTCATTTTGCTCTTGTAATTTCAGAATTTAATTCGACCACATTTAATCATATTTTTATCCTCTCGTTTAATGATAGACACATCCTTAAATAAAAATACCTCGATCTTTCTTGAGTGCACTGCATGCGTACGTGTTTTAGTTCACCAAAAAAACTTTCATTTAATTATTTGAGTTGAAATCTCACTCAACTAATTTGATCTTAGCCATCAAAGTATCACATATATGACGACCATACTCTTAATAATGTCACAATTCATGACGTGGCATACACTTTCAAGTTTATCTCTATGTGAGATGGATAGTTGGAGCTTTGACATTGAGGATTTAGATGTTCAATCAAAGTTCTCCAACTCAACTCAAGGGGGTGGTTTAATTTAATCTCAATAAATTGATGTATTAATATGGGAGATTCATATTATAAACATAACACAATATGCTAGAAATTAACCTACACAATCCCATCAATATACGAGAGAGATCTAGCCCTTTACACACTTCCTAATTAGGCTCAAAAATCTCAAAAACAACATCAAATATGTCAAAACATCAATAAAATACAAATGTAGGTCCTGAAATTAGTCACTCACCAACTAACTGATAAAAAATTCAGTTTTCACACCGTTCATAATGTGGAGTTACGAATTCTCTAACTCAGAGTTAAAATCTCACAACATCCAACAACGTTTATTTGAATCGAATCGTAACAAATGTCTGAAAATCCGCAACCTCAGCATTTCAAACTCATTTTTCTGCCGCTAAGCAACTTCGGCCATATGACTTGAATAGTCTTTCCAGAACCCTAGCAATACTTTAACTGGGTTTAAGATAGTACAAAAAAACATTGAGCTTTTGCTCTACATTGTACAGAGCCCATAAAAGAAAAATCCAACAATAAAATATTATTGCATTCGATATTTACAGTCCAACAAAATAATACTCCCTCCAGTCCTTATTTTAAGGTATTTTGATTTCTGTTATGTTTATTTATTGTGTTTATCTACATTAAAATAAGTTTTTCACATTTATTTTTTTCTCTCAATTATTATAAATGATTTTTAAGATTTCATTCCTAATTAGAAAACTACAATACATGAAATATAGGATAAATCAAAATCATTATATATATTAAAGGAAAGAAAGATAATCTACGTGTCGCTAATTGAAACCATCAAGTCTCACTTTCAACTTATTATCATTTTAGCCCTTAAAGTTCTATTTATGTGCTACTTAGTGTTCAAATTTATCGATTTTATATTTTCAAGGACGATTAATTGTGTCGAATCCCCAAAGTCCACTTGTCTGTAAATAAACCATAGGCATCTAGACATAATTTGTATTTTTTAAATATATTTTTTAATCCAAATATAACATTAGTTAATGGTGACAATTTTTATTGTACAACTTTTTAAAATTTTTGTTGTAATATTTTTGGCCAGATTTTATAAATATACATCTCATAAATAATATCAATACCTCTCATTTTGATCTAAAATTGATTAATCAAAAAAATATTACGGTTTTAAGAAATATTAGTAACTACATTATCTAATTAATTATTGAAAGATAAATTTTCAACATTGACAAACCCGCGGAAAGTACGGAACACATACTAGTAACTTATAATAAGAATCAAAAGGACTAAGAGAATTCCTTACGTTAAATGATGGTACACGAACCAAATAATCATAAAAAAAAGTTACTGAATCTCCGTCTTGTCTTTATTATAAAGCATTTTGACTTTTCCAAAATTTCACCTGGTACACATTTTTAATTGACAAAAATATCCTAAAAATATATTTTCACATTCATAGTGTTCTCTTGATTTTTATGAAATATTTTTAATATTTTTTCGTCGATTAAAAATGTGTACTAAATTAAACCTAGGACAAATCAAAATGTCTTATATTAAGAACTGGAAGGAGTATTTATGAAGTACAATTAAAAATTAAATTCAGTACATTAGACGACTTTTGCCCATGCAAATCACATTTCCTATATAATATTCCCAACAAACTAATAAATGTTTGAAACGGTCGTGAATTGGTTCCTAAATTTAAACACTCTGGTCTTATGATTTCAAAATGATAAATGCACACATTCTATATATATATATGAAATCCATGCCAAACAAAACCCAAAAATCTGTCAAACGGTAAAATGGCCCCTATTTTCAACATTGACAAGCTCGCGAGAAAGTGCGGGACACATACTAGTAACTTATAATAAGAATCAAAAGGACTAAGAGAATTCCTTACGTTAAATGATGGTACACGAACCAAATAATCATAAAAAAAAGTTACTGAATTTCCGTCTTGTCTTTATTATAAAGTATTTTGACTTTTCTAAAATTTCACCTGGTACACATTTTTAATTGATAAAAATATCTTAAAAATATATTTTCACATTCATAGTGTTCTCTTGATTTTTATGAAATATTTTTAATATTTTTTCGTCGATTAAAAATGTGTACTAAATTAAAACTAGGACAAATCAAAATGCCTTATATTAAGAACTGGAAGGAGTATTTATGAAGTACAATTAAAAATTAAATTCAGTACATTAGACGACTTTTGCCCATGCAAATCACATTTCCTATATAATATTCCCAACAAACTAATAAATGTTTGAAACGGTCGTGAATTGGTCCCTAAATTTAAACACTCTGGTCCTATGATTTCAAAATGATAAATGCACACATTCCTCTATATCTATATATATATATATATATATATATATATATATATATATATATGAAATCCATGCCAAACAAAACCCAAAAATCTGTCAAACGGTAAAATGGCCCCTACTAACTACAATATACAAAGCCGTAGTCAAACTGGTCTTCTCCGCCGTAACCACCTTGATCCGGTGGCCGTGGTGATGGTGCCGTTTCCGGCACAAGGCCATCTCAACCAGCTCCTCCAGCTCAGCCGCCTCATCTCCGCCTACAACATCCCCGTCCACTACGTCGGCACCGCCGCCCACAACCTGCAAGCCAAGCTACGAGCCCACAGCAGGGATCCACTTTCCGCTTCCAACATCCATTTCCACGAGCTCCCGACCCCAACTTTTCAAAACCCTCCTCCCGATCCGAATTCCAACATCAAATTCCCATGCCATCTTCAGCCTTTATTCGACGCCGCCTCCGAGGAGCTCCGCGGCCCGGTCGCGGCCTTGGTCCGGTCACTTTCCGCCATCAACCGAAGGGTGGTCATCATTAACGATTCCCTAATGGGATCAGTGGTTCAAGACTTCACTCGCTTAACAAACGCCGAGGCCTATACTTTTCATAGTATTTCGGCTTTTACGAGCTTCTTTTTCCGGTGGGAATCTGCCGGAAAGCCCTTTCCGGTTGATGAAGAGATTCTGAAAATAATTCCAGCTTTGAACGGTTGTTTCACTCCTCAGTTCACAGAGTTTATTATAAACCAATCGGATTACGCTAAGAATTCTTCAGGAAGAATTTACAATTCATGCAAAGAGATGGAAGGTCCTTTTATTGATTTGCTTTCCAAGCAAGAAATCAGCGGAAATACCAAGCAATGGGCTCTTGGCCCTTTCAATCCTGTTCGGGTCGAAAAAGGCAAACCCAATCAAAGTCATAAATGTCTGGAATGGCTCGAAAAACAAGGCATGAACGAAGTAATCTTCGTTTCTTTCGGTACCACAACTTCATTCTCCGACGAACAGATTTGCGAAATCGCGATTGGGTTAGAGAAAAGCGAGCAAAAATTCATATGGGTTCTGAGGGACGCCGACAAAGGAGACGTATTCGTTAAAGATTCTGGAAGAAGATCGATTCAGCTTCCAGATGGGTTTGAGGAGAGGATGGAGAGGAAAGGATTGGGCCTGGTGGTTAGGAACTGGGCTCCCCAGCTGGCGATTCTGGAACACGCCGCCACCGGAGGTTTCATGAGCCATTGTGGTTGGAATTCGTGCATGGAAAGCTTGACGATGGGGGTTCCGATCGCGGCCTGGCCCATGCATTCCGACCAGCCGAGGAATGCGGTGTTGGTTACTAAGGTGCTCAAAGTCGGTGTGGCCGTGAAAGATTGGGCTTGTGGCGATGGTGATTATAATAAGCTGGTGACTTCTTCAATGGTTGACAGAGCGGTGAGGATGTTGATGGCTGAGGAAAGGGGCCATCTAATGAGAAAAAGGGCGGCCAAGTTGGGGGCGGCTGTTCGGAGCTCGGTGGCTGATGGTGGCGCCACCAAGAAAGAATTTGATGCTTTCATAGCTCATATTACTAGGTAGAATGTAATGTTTTGAATTATTATTAGTACTCAGGTTTTTATTATTAGATATTTTAATTTGTATTAGATTTCACTTATTATGTTAGTTTAATTGAAATAGAAATCTTAAAAATATTTCATAATAATTAGCAGAACAAAATAAATGTGAAAAATGTAATTTTAAGGTTATTTTTCCAATCCAAAAATATAGTATGCAAAAATTAAGACAAATTAAAATGACTTGTAATAAGAATTTCATGATTTATCGTGGTTTGTCTAAAGGGGGTGTCACTTCTTCCCAGTTAGGTGAAATTGTTTGTCACTTGGAACAATTTCATGATTTATCTGGTGTTTTGAATAGAAGAAATGTGCTTTCTTTTTTCGTCCAAAATCTATTATTTCGGGTTTTGTACTAGAAATATTAAATTTTAATGTTGACGTTTTTTTTTCTCGAAGATGTAAATGAATTTACATTAAGTAATGGTTAAGTAAACGTCATATGGTATATTATATGCGAATACAACTCCTTAATTTAATCAGTGTTTAAACTATTTCCCCCTCCCCCAAAGTCTTTCACGCTGTCTTAAACAAGAAATTATGATCATTATTCTTCTCGACAAGTACTTTTGTGGTGTATTATCTAGCATTTTTAGGTCTCTGGAGAGTTACAATGGCTTGAATTTTGTTCGTCAGGTGACACTATGGATATCACTGGGTTGCATATCTCGGACTTTTTTTATTGTACCAAAAATTTGTAAATTACGGTTTATTCTTGTTAACACACAGTGAAAATTGGTTCTTTTAATTAATTTGTAACCAAAAAAATTAGTGAGAAGGGTTTTTTACGAGACATAATACTTGAGAGCTATAATTTGGAACAAACCCCAATCACAACGATTGGTAACCGTGACTATCACTTTCTACATGGATATGGAACAATCCGTTCCCCAAGAGCACGGCTTTTTGTTTAACTCTTTTAATCTTTTTATATCACTAATACATCTGAAAATCCTTGTCAATCAGAAAATTATCTACTGAAGCTGAAGTGGGGAAAACATAAAAATCAAGGACATTACTGACAATTCATACGTTTTCTTGCCCCCACTTTTTGATATTCATCGTCAAAAGATCGTACAAACAGTTTAGATCCAGTCCACACATATATTTGATGGCGATGTTGCTTGAAGAATAGCATCATATTCTAACGTCACAAACCTTACGTTTCGATCTCATGCATGCAACTATGCACAAGAATGTTATGGTTACTTATATGTACGTAGTCTAAGTAAACTTCTATAATAGAACTTCAAGGAAAAATTTTCGTGCTTTGTAACTGGATTTTGACAGTTTAATAAGTTTTTTTGGATATCTTTTTTTCTGTAACTAAGCATGCTACACAATGCATGCTCTTGTTCTTTACTTCTCTGAAATTTGCAAATAAACCAACATCATATAGCGCCTTTATTAGCAATGCTAAACAAATCAATTTTTTTCTGATACAGTGATTCATTTTTTCGCTAGATTATAGAAATTTTGATAGGTAAGATAATTGGTCGAAAAATATAATAATATTTTATGTTCACGACCCATTTGGGATCACCAATTTATGATGAAGATGAACCCCTTTCACTTATCCGCAATCCCATTGGTTGGTGGATTGCTCATACTAATGACATAAAATACATGAATAGACAATAAAGAGGATCCATTCAAAAACGTTAAAATTGACCATGAGATTTTCTTAGCCTGTCCATGTTATCGAATCATTTGTTACAAACACATCTTTTTAGTTCAGTCGTTACGTCATGATCATGTTACGTGTCCTAACTTAATCAGTAATAAAATAAAATAAAATATTCTTTTCACAAAAATGAAACATAAATCGAATGCCCAACTATGACGCGCACAGCATTTTGATGGTTTCACGTGTGAAGCAACACACAAGTTGGCATCGATGGGTGTCAGTCACGCCACACCTCGTGGAGAGTTTAATTAGAATACGTACTGGTGTTGCGTTGTTTATAAAAGATTCGTCAAACTTTTCTGTGATTATGAATAAGTTAATTAATTATTGATTGTACCTCGACATCTATCATTGTTTTGGAAAGAATTATTATTATTACCTTCTCTTTTTTTTTTTTGGTACAGAAGAAGAGACTAAGTGCCTTAATGAATCAAATAATTATATTACGTGAATAATATTGAGAATCACAGTCTTATATTGGTGCTCGGAGAGACTGAATATCAATATAAAAGTACATGGACTACTCCCCTCATAATCAATTGGTTTTGAGGTGAAACCTCATGAATTTCTATAAATAAGAGACCCCGGCAATCTCATACTCGAACCACGATTTGATACTAATCAGTGGACTAAACGTTGATATCCCCAGCTCATTCCTTCTCCCAGCACCTAGCTAACAACTGAACGCAAGGGACACCCTGCAAAATTTGACTCCTGATAAGTGTGATTCAACTCTACCACCCATGCCCTCCTAACAATTCCTCTCTCTTTTGGGCGAAAAAACTTTCGGAAGTGATAAGCATGATCATATGGAAAGAAAGAGCTAGTACTCCCTCCGTTCTAAAATAAGTGTCGTTTTAGCAAAATGGAAAAATTTCAAAATAAGTGTTGTTCTCACATTTTAATGCACTTTTTGTCCAAAGTTTTCAAAATTACTCTCGAAAGAATTAATACTATTAGTGGACATTTTTTTAGTGGAGCTGGTTGAGGATATTGAAGTAATTTTATTACCCTATTTAAGAGTTTCTTAAACTATGTGCAAAGTGTAGGATGACATTTATTTTGGAATGGAGAGAGTACATGAAATTATCTTTGTCACTACTGACAAGGAATGTTTTGCACCTTTTCTTGATTTGATCAAACGACATATAGGGAACAGACAGGTGCTATTACATATCTTCTGATTTCCTTTATTCAATAGAGATAAGCTAAATTTTTAATACAAATATTTGTACATTTAGCTTGTTATCGCATCTATTTTTTTTTTTAAATGACATTAATTAATTTTTTAAATTTTACACACCCTTTTCTCAAATTTCTCCATGACTAGGCACACAATATTTGAACTGGGGAAATTGCTGAATAAAGTAAGATGGACATGATGGTTATAGATGGTCCAATACTGAATAAACCGTGTCTTTAGACGGAAAAATTTTGTTTAATATAATGGGTCCCTTGATAAAGCAAGAGTTACGTTAGAAAATTGGCTTCTGCTTAGTTGGAGTTCTGTGGGCATTATATTATAGTATATCTCTATAACTATTCCTGTTTTGGCCAATTTAAAACTAAATCGTTGAATTGAACCCTCGGAACAACCGTCTTAATTTGTTTCGACAAAGTGGTGCTACGAGGATATATGATAAAGATGGGTTTTTTCACAATAAAGTCATACATATTTCATGAAAATATTTAGTTTAGTGGTAAGATTTTAAGCCGATATTTTTAGAGATTTATGATTTGGATTCCGATTAGACTGCGTGTGGATTTACGAGTGTATTAAAAAATATTTTGCCTCCTTCATAGTTAAACAAATAGTAAAATAAAATCAGTTATTCCAACCATAAAGTGAGCTATAACAAAGACCGAAGAAAAAGAGTATTGAGAAACTAACAATCATTTCTGACGAATTACATTTTAATTGATCAAGATTCGCGCGATGCACGTTGTTCAAACTCAATTATTACCTTGCAACTCCCATAATCTTTAATTGCATTGTAAAGTTAAATTTACGGTGCTGCAATGTTGTTATGTCTATCGTGCGGTTGAATCTATTAAATTGGTCGGAGAGATTAGGACTCCTTCTAACCAGAAAAATTAATAATAATAATAAATAGTCTAACATAATTCAAAATTTTTCATACTATACCCTATGTCTATACACATAATTATGTATCATTAACTGTAAATCTATTATTAATTTCCGTCAAACTTTTTTTTTAACTTTTATTTTAATTTACTACTAATCGTCTAACACAAATACAGACTATTATAAAAAAATAAAAAAAAACACACACACACACACACACAACACAACTTTAAGAAACAGATATCTCCACAGTTACAACACTCGACTCGGATAAACCACTGACCCCATCATAGAATCATTAATAATTACCACCCTTCTATTGCCGGCGGAAAGTGACCGGAGTAAGGAATCGACTGGTCTGCGGAGCTCTTCCGCGGCCACGTCGAATAAAGGTTGAATATGATATGGGAATTATATTTTGGAATTGGATTCGTGGAAATGGATGTTGGAAACCAAAAGTGGGTCCCAGCCGTGGACTCGGAGCTTGGCTGGCCGGTTGTGCGTGGCAATGCCGACGTAGTGGACGGGAATGTTGTAGGCGGAGATGCGGCTCAGCTGGAGGAGCTGATTTGAGATGGCCCTATGCCGGAAACGGCACCATCACCACCGCCTCGGCTTTGTACGTTGTAGGTAAATAGGGTACATTTTTGCAATTTGAAGCATCTATTGAATGATTAAAAAAAAAAAAGCATCCATTGAAACATTTGAAGGATTCGATACGGTTTATGGAGTGTATAGAAAGAATTATATTTTTTTGTCTCAGAAAAATAATAGATATTACAATTTTTGAATGATATTATTTTAGTACAACTTACAAATTAAATATTGTAGAATTTTTAATTTTTTTTTTAGAAAGAGTACTCCTGGGGACCATGTTGAGTAATACTCCCTTTGTCCCAAAATTATTGTCCAGTTTGAGATTTCATTTTTAGTACAATTTGAACTAAAAATAAAAACCCAAACTGCATAATAATTATGGGAAGGAGCAGTATACAATATCTAGCATTCTGGAATCATAGGATCAATGTTGAGTTTATTGTGGATGGGATTTTAATTAGGGGCCAATCACCGTTCCCAACATTTATTAGTTTGTTGGAGAGATGTGATAATAACATAATATCGTGGTTGCAATTTCAAAAGCTTTTACGTATCACTCCTGGGGCAGTACGTAATTGGATATTGTGCAACTACATTATTTTTTCTGGGTGCAACCATTCAAGAGAAAATTAATCTATAACATTTGAAGAATGACAGCGTCATACCTCCAATTATGAATACAATCTTGATAGTAAAACAAACACACGCTGAAACCTCCGGCTAACTACCTAACTCCAGCCAAAAAAACGCCGAATAATTTAACAAAAGAGGGGAAAAAAAAGTCGAATA